ACATTTATAAATGTATGAATCATATGGTGAAAAACTGACTTTGAAAAATAAATCTGTTCTTTTTTTTTCCTTGTAAAAGGCTAAATAAAACAAAAATATTGGTGGTAATTTTTGACTGTGTAACTTTACAAACGGCACCCTATATCTTTTGATTTTTTTAGTTGCTATTAAAGAGAGATGACGAAGAGTTAAAGTTTAAAAAAATAGTTTTAATAAACAGAGACCAGCGAGTTTATTTTATTAATGAGTTCCCCTTTGATGTCACTTCCTGTTTCATTTTGGCTGAGCCAAATTCAACAGAAAATACGCCAGTTATGAGCCAAAATGGGTAAAATCGTGTACAATTGTCTTAAGTATAAGGATGCTTTCTTTGACGTTTTGGATTTGAAGGATAGGTGTGTCACAGGTACTTTAATCTTTCATTAGTTCCTTTGTATTTTGTTCCCAAAGAGCCAGAGCTTCTTGCCATCTTCTAAAATAATCAATATTTTTTTTTCTCTGAATAGAAGCTGTTTGGTTTTGCGGTATGTGTCTACATGCACCGGTGTGTACGTGTTCACGTTACCTGCAGGCCAAGTGGGTTCAGGCTGGTGTTTGTCCAGCAGCTAATTGGGCCGTCAGTTCGAATCTCCATGGCATACAGCAGGTTCTCATCACGGAAGCAGGAAGGCCAGCCCACCTGAAGCTCCGCCTCTCCGATGCTGCTGGGACCAGAGTTATGAAGCTGCAGCAGGAAAAACAAAGAGAGATGTCAGCTCCGGACTCCTCCTCCTGCCCTGTTAGCGGGTCTCGTGTGACCACAGTGATCAGGTTATCATAACTGTGGTGCGATGAGACGGGCCACCTGTGTTTTCATACAGACGGGAGGGAAACACAACACAAATAAAACCTACATCATCATCATCATCAGCCTGATCTTCCACATCACAACTGGGCTGGATGAATTATGGCCCTAAATAGACCATGAGCTCAGAAAGAACCCCCCCCAAACACACACACACACACATATACACAGACGTGGTCGTAACAATGAAGCAAGTCATCCAAACAGGACATGATCCTGATGCTGCGGGGCAGGAATTCTTAAGAGCCAGAAAACTTGGTCCGGTCTAACAAGAAGCAGCTGCCCGCTGGGAAACGTACCGCAAATGAAAACCATTATCAGCTGCAGGACGGCCAGACAGTGTTGCAGTCCGGTTCACTGGAGCTGCTCGCCGTTTAAAACACAAAGAAGTCGAATGTACAGCAGACACACACACACACACACACACACACACACACACACACACACAC